ACCTCCTTCCAGAGAGGGCTTTTCAAATGGGGAGTCGGAGGTAGCAGGTCCCCCCTCCTTTAAGGACTTTTTCCAGCTGGCTCTCTCCAAGACTCTGCTGGTTAAGGCTAAGAGCCTGGCTCATTTTTTAAAAAGGGACAAGGTCACCCGGGATCTTCCCTCAGAGGGGGAGGATCAGGAAGATTACCTATTCACTGAGAAAGCATCTATGGTGGACGCTGTACCTGTGCCCCAGACGTTTATGAATGTGATTAAAAAGCAGTGGGAGTCCCCTGGGGAGTACACTCGCCCCAGAGTGTCTGAGTCTACCTTATTTAATGGGTGGCTGCGGAAGCTGCAGGGTAGAATCCCACCTGAGGACCTCAGGGTGCATCAAGACTTAAATAAGATAATAGCCACAGCTTAATCGACAGCTAATGCCACCCTCATGTCAGCCAAAACTTCTTCCAAACCCATGGCCTCATCTGTAACAGCACGTAGGCTCATCTGGCTAAGAAATTGGCAGACGGATGCCAGAAACAAATGGAAGCTGGTGTTTGCTACCTTCAAGGGAGAGAGGCTTTTTGGAAAGGCCCTGGATCCCTTTTTTGATGGAAACCAGGGACAAGTGAAAGATCCTGCCCTCCCAGGGGAGGCGTTTTGATTACAGGTCTCCACCCTACTACAGAAAGCCCTCCTTTAAACGGGGAAGCTAGGGCAAGCTTTCCCCATGAAAGTAGGCCCTTCTTCCAAAGATCCTCATTTCAGGCCGATAGACCGGCCTTTGCCGCCAGAGGGCACCAGAAGCAAGATGACAGAAGGTCCTTTCGGGGTTCCAACAGACCTTTTAGATGCAACAAGTGACACCCAAGCCTCCTCTCCCAGAGGGGGCCGTCTGGAACTGTTCTGGCAGAGGTGGGAACAGATCACGACAGACACTTGGATCCTGACAACTTTATGGTCAGGTCTCTCTGGAGTTTATTTCCTCCCCCCTAGTACCTTTGTGTGCTGCCCCATCTCAAGGGACCCCTCAAAGAGGGATCTCATGAAATCAGCGATCCACCATCTGCTGGATGTTCGGGCCATCCAGCCGGTTCCTGGAGACCAGGAGAGACAGAGGTTCTATTCAATTTGGTTTGTGATTCCAAAGGCCAGGGAGGTGGCGAGCAATCCTCAACTTGAAAGGGCTCAACAGGCATCTAATCTACCGAAGATTCAAGGTGCACTCCCTCTACTCTATCCTACAGGGCCTGCAGGAGGGAGATTTTTGGGGCTTCGGTAGACCTGACAAAGGCCTACCTCCATGTGCCCATAGACCCCAACCACCATCAGTTCCTGAGGTTTTGCTATGGCAGCCACCATTTTCAATACAGGGCTCTCCCGTTTGGCCTGTCATCAGCCCCACGGACTTTTACCAAGCTCCTGGCAGCTGTAGCAGCATACCTCAGATCCTTACCCATAAGGATCCTATGCTATTTGAATGACATCCTGATAGCATCCTCTTCCAGACCCCAGGCGGAGGAGGATATGATGTCGACAATCAGGATCCTTCGAGAGCATGGGTTCTCAATAAACCTGGACAAATGCCACCTAGTACTATCAAACCATCTCTTGCATTTGGGGACTATCATAGACATCTTAACTAGCCAGGTCTTTCTCTCACAGGAGCTTCAAGACAGTATAAGGGACATCACATCACAGATCCTGTCTGACAGAGAGGCGCCTATAATCTTGCTGTCTCAACTTCTTGGCAAGATGATATCATGCATCAGGATCAGCCAAGGGCCTGCTTCCTGCCCGAATCCGGCAGTGGTTCCTGCTCCCCTACCTGAAGGCGGGCAGGGGCAACTCTCCAAGGAGGGTTCACATCCCCTTGCTGGTTCTTCATTCTCTCCATTGGTGCCAGACCCGAGCCATGGATCTGGGTTACTTGTACAGGGAGCCCCAGAGCATTACCATCACCACTGACGCAAGTCTGTATGGTTGGGTGTTCACGGGAGGAGCTCACCCACAACATAAATTGGCTAGAGCTCAGGGCTACCCGCTTAACTCTCAAGGATCTAAGGTAGGAGGTGATGGGGAGACAGGTTTTTCTCCTCACAGACAATGTGGCCACCAAGACCCACATAAACCAGCAGGGAGGCACTCGCTCCAGATCTCTAATGCAGGAGGCAACTCAGTTGTGCAGGTGGGCGGAGAGACACCTGTTGTCCCTGCGAGCAGAAAACATCTTGGGAGTTTCCAATGTGCAGGCAGACTGGTTGAGCAGGCCCACAGTCGACCAGTCGGAATGGCGACTGCATCCCAGTCTGTTCCAGGAGATGATGAAATGATTCAGCCATCCGATTCTGGATCTCTTTGCATCTCCAGAGAACTCGCAGCTCCCGAGGTTCTTTGCACGGTTCCCAGCACCGGGAGCATAAGGGGTCAACAGTCTCTGGTGCAGGTGACCCCAAGGGCTATTGTATGCCTTCATCCCTTCCCCTGATTCCGGGAACAATCAGAAAGGTACTGACAGAGAGGGCGGAGGTTCTGTTGGTAGCCCCTTACTGGCCAGGCGCCCATGGTTCACCAGACCCTGGAGAATTCCCCTGCACAGGATCTCCCTCAGCCAGGGCCCGATTGAGCACCCAGATCCAGCCTGGTTTTGGTTGACCATATGGCGCTTGAGCAGGTGCTCCTGAAATAGGAATAGTTTTCCAGAAGGGTCAGACCTTCCACGACCAGGATATACGATGCATCATGGAGGATTTTCTACGGCTGGTGTGCCAGTCATCTATTGGAACATACTTCTGTGTCTGTGGCAAATGTGTTAGAGTTCCTGCAGGATGGGTTGGACAGAGGTCTCGCCCCCCAGTACCTTGAAGAGACAGGTGGCTGCCTTGGCCTCGTTTTTCGGTCAAGGACTCAACCACTCTGGCCCAACACCCCAGGGTGAAAGCCTTCCTTAGGGGAGCCACTAATTTGAAGCCACCGGTGGTCCACCATTTCCCCACCTGGGATTTGCCTAGGGTCCTGCAGGCACTGACTTCTCCCTCATTTGAACCCTTGCGTGAAGTCAGTCTTTGCCTACTCACGTGCAAAGTGTCATTCTTAGTGGCCATTATTTCGGCCAGGCATATCTCGGAGTTGACAGCCTCATCCATCAGAAAGGACCTGTGTATTTTCCATGCAGACAGGGTGGTTCTGCGGTTGGACCCTACCTTTCTGCCCAGGGTGAACTCCTTATTCCATCACTCACAGGAGTTGATTTTGCCTGACTTCTGTCCAGGGCCTACTCATGCACTGGAGAGAAAATGGCACACCTTGGACGTTAGGAGGGCCTTCTGTATATACATCAAAAGGACCTCCTCTTTTAGGAGGACTGAAGCCCTGTTCATTTCCTTTCAGCCATCAACTTTGGGTCGCAGGATGACACCATCTACTGTGGGTTGCTGGCTTAGAGCCTGTATTGCGAAGGCCTATGAGTTACTGGCTCTTCCTGTGCCCAGGAGAATCACTGCGCACTCAACCAGGAATGCAGTGACCACTACAGCCTGGGCAATACAGGCTTCGGTTCTGGACTTTTGTAGGACTAAGACTTGGTCATCTGTGACCCCATTCATAAGACATTATAACATTGACTCCTTTGCCTCAGCAGAGGTGTCCTTTGGAAGACGAGTCCTGCAGGGCGTTCATGTAGAAGTAGGGACCTCCAACCAATCCAGTTCCTTCCCATAGGACAGCCATCAGCCAGCTTTGGTATGTCCCATCCTGGATTCTCCCTTCGGCTCAGTGGAGAAGGGGCGTTGGTCCTACCTGAACGCTACTTCTCGGGGAGCCGAAGGGAGCATCCAGTCCCACCCTGTATTGTCTGGTCGGAGTAGGGAGGAAATGTTTTTTTCTCGCAGTATCAAATAGGCTATCTGTTAGAGGACGAGGAGCAGCTGGATTTGCTTCGACATCGTTCAGAACTGGGGACTGTTACCCGGGGGTGTGTCCTCAGTTTTTCAACTCGGTCTGCAGAGCTATGAGACTAGAGACTACCCATCCTGGATTGTGCCTTCAGCTCCCCGAGAAGCGTTCAGGTAGGACCAATGCCCTTTTTTCCAGATCCCACCCTTTTTTTCCTTCTTTTAAAAGTTTTTGAGAATCCAGAAATCTTTATTATCCCTTTGACATTTTATTTTCAGCTTAAATAGCTCTTAATGTCAAAGTGGGTTTTTGCTGGTTTCTTGCTTAGATCTCTTAATTGTCAATATAGAGAAGAAAAGAAAAAAACCCAAATCCTTTCCCTTCCTTCTCTCATTCGCCGCTTCAAAGTCTTCTTTGGGAGCAATGTTATTTTTTATAATTCAAGTTCCAAGGTACCTTATATTGTTACTTTTTCAGTTCGACCCAGACAGCCAAAACTTTCTCTTCTTATCTTCCTCCTGCACATTCTTTTCCAATCGTGTTCTTCTTTGAGGTGACCATTTCTAACCACTGCTGCAACTGCCTTCGGGAAAGGGAGTAATGGCCAGCTGGGGAGGAGAGATGCGACTCTCCTCGACCCTGCTGGCAGTCTCCCCCCTCTTCACCACCTCTATGGGGTGGCTTAGACCTGAAACCAGCCAGTTCAGGGTGCTCCAGCAGCGAGCACAGATCGAAACCATGTACGATCGTGGATTTCAGTCTGTCGCCGAAGAAGCTCCAAAACTTCTGCTGATTACTGTACCCTAATCTGTAATTTTTCTTTGAAATAACACAGAAACAGACTGCCATTGCTATCCATAATAGATATAATACTTCATGACTTGAACGTGCAGACCTTTATATACCAAATTTTATTTTTTCTGTGAAACCTTTTTTCCTTAATTTTCTTTAATTAGCATTTATTCCACAAAAATATGATGCAACAAAGTCTAAATGTCTTTTTTTCCTGTTCTTGTTCTTTAATTACTGATCTTCACATTTTTTTTACATTCTCAAGCATGTTATTCTTAGAGTATATTATATTTTCATTTGTTTAAATTGTGTTAAGGAATTGTTTTGTTTTTCAGTTGCTGGCACAGGTAGAGGAGAGCATGTACCAAAAAATTGCAATGATATTGAAGTAATCACTCATCTGTTGGCTGAGGTAAAATTATTGCTGTTTTATAACTAAACATAGTTTTACAAATTGAAATAAATATTTTAAATTTGAGAAAGAAACAGATAATTTTAATTGGTGGTGGTAGGGTGCTCAAATTCCAACACCACAATCTTTCACTGATTCATGTGGTTCAAACTTCGCATAAAATATGGTAGAATCTCATACAAAATGTTGCTGGTAGAATAAATAGTAAAGCCATTGCTGGTCAACACTGTTCTTTTACAGTCCAAGTTTCAGTCTGATTTTAAAACTGAAACAATAACCAATGGAGGAGGATAGGAACTACCCTAGGAGAATAGGAACTAGTAAGATGAAATCAGCAGAAAAGTTTTGCCTGAACGACTAGAATTATTGGAAATGACTTTGAGAGACAGGAGTAAGAGTTCAGACTGGCCAGCAATCAAATAAGAGACAGCTGAGTCCACAGAAGGAATGGGGACCTGGCAAATGCCTCAGAAAGGATTCTTTCTGGTTTCTTGGATTGTAAAGGCAAGTGGGGAGGGGAGATATACTTTTAGATTTGCAAGATTCTGTTAATGTAACCTTCAAATAAAGATAGAGTGTAATGCTCCTGGGTGTATTTGCCTGGATTATTTTGTAAGGGTGACAGTTATCCTTTTTCAGAGTTACGTGCTTAGTAGTTTGTGCTTCTATCCTCCATTTCTCCATTGCCTCTTTCTTTGCTGTGTTAATGATTGCCAGCATTGGTATGTATATCTGGGCTTTTTGTGATTGGCATAGTTATCCTATTTTCCAAGACTTCATTTTCTTGATTACAGTTATTTATTCTTTGATCAAGACATTAGGTGGCCTAGTGGTGAAGGAACTTGCCTTCCACTTGGAAGGTTGAGAGTTTAATCATATGTAGCGAAAGATGTTTCTCTTCTAGGGTAAAAAGAAAAATATCTGCTGCAAATTTCGCCTGGCATCAGGAAGGGCATCTAGCCAGTAAACGCTCAGCTCCATCCAATCACACTGACTCTCCTCCAAATTAAGGGATTACAGAGTCATAAAAAGGAAGTTTTAAATTATTAATTCTTTGAAATTCCAGTGTCAGATTTATATGAGAACCATGGCCACATACTCAAAAATAACTTAGACATGGATTAAAAAAAAACCATTTACAAAAGAAAACTGTAGCTGTTTATTTAAAAGTTTAGTTGCCAGTTTATGTTTGATTCAGATTCTAAGTAAAGTGGAGAAGGATGTCTTGCCATTCAGTAACAGGGTCATAGCTTAACTCCAGATTTGGGTGGAACTTTATTATTTGGGGAACAGGTATAACCAAGGTACAGAACTCAAAAGAGTTTGGAAGTTGAAGATTAGAGATCTCAGGAAAAGAAATGACTTGTGTTTCTGGTGCAGCTGATTCTAGATTCCCCCCCCCCCCCAAATGGCTGGTTCAGAGGTTTTAATGGCTTTTATGTTGCTTTTGATTTCTGTCTGTTTTTCAATGCCAAATATTTGAAAAAGATCCTGGGTTTTCCTGAACGCCGCTACTTTATCAAACTCAAAACTCTGTCTCTTTTCTTCAATTTTATACACAAATGAAAAAAATGCTAACATTTGAATAACTTCTTGAGGGAAAAAAAATACAATTTTTAATGGTTTTCTGAGCAGAAAGATCGAGATCTAGAACTAGCAGCACGGATTGGACAAGCCCTTCTTAGACGAAACCATAGCCTAACAGAGCAAAATGACGTTCTGGAAGATCAGTTGGGTCAAGCCTTTGACAAAGTAAGTGAACAAATTTTAGCTTTGGGGATTTTAAGAGGTTAATGTATTGTGTAAGCATCTGGTGAAGTTTTATTACTATATATCAGATGAAAACTTTTAATCTATTGAAGTTAGAAGCTTTCATTTCCACAAAGTTTCAAGTTAGTCTTTGTTTAATGAAAAAAAGATGCAAGAATTTTGAAGGCTATTTTATTTATTTCAAATGTGGAAGCATGTATTATATTATTACGCAGAGCTGAACTCTTGCTTTATGTACTTAAATTTTTGTACTGTTTCAAACTATTGTTTATGTGTGCTGCATCTTTAATAAAGAGTATAAATAGGAATTACATTCCATATACATAAAATTTGAGTCTAATATTTGCCTGTATGTAGAATATATGTACAATATTCCCAATTCTCAGGATTCTTCTATTTTAACTTTTTAAAATAGAAAAAGGTTAAAAAGAACAAAGAATCCCAGAATATATTTGAAACCATTTGATTCAGCAACTTTACTGAAGTCTAGGTCTATATAATGTTTAGACTGCTGGTCATTTAATTTGGGTCCCAGGGAAGAGCATTGAGATATAATTGAAATAAATAAAATTTACCTATGATTGTAATGCCTTTTAATCTCACTAGATACAGGAAGCAGCTGTACCATGTATCCATGAGTAAAGAACTCTGCTGTTTGATGAATATAGAAAATAGCTCTTTATTTTCCTAGAATTAAAAAAAAAAACACTGAATGGTGGACTGATAAATATTTATTTAGCCTTTAGACTGTTGGCTTTAAAAAAGGGACTTCTGCCAAGGAAAATAATGTATTTTCACATTATTGAATTTTGGATAATGACAGTCTAGGAAAGAAAATATGATAATTGGAACATGGAATGAGCAAAGATATCTTCCATTAATATTTCTAAGCCTTCTTATAAAAGTGTAATTTGGAGGAAATCCATATTTAATACTATTTTTTTAAAGTGGGGGAGATTAGCATATTCTGAAGAAGTGGTAATGGAGATAGCAGTACAATTGTTTTTTAACTTGTCTGTTGATTCACTAGCGTAAATTGCATTGTTTTGAGTAAATGGTTATGTTTAGTAAACAAAAACGCTGTAAAATCAGATTCATCAGCTACAACATGAACTAACAAAAAAAGATGAACTGCTTCGTGTGGTATCCACTGCTTCTGAAGAAAGTGAGACTGACTCTAGCTGCTCCACACCACTTCGCTTCAATGAGTCCTTCAACTTGTCACAAGGTTTCTTACAGTTGGATATCTTACAAGATAAACTCAGGGAACTGGAAGAGGAAAACCTATTACTTCGAACAAAGGTAACTTACATTCTTATTCCTTTCGAGTATTATTAATTGAATATAAATCCAAGCATTAAAAAAGGATATATTAACATGGCTACGGTCATGCTTATAGAAGAAGTGATAAGTAGGATTGTTCAACCAAAAAAGGATGCAAATGACCCAAATACAATTTTAACTTCACATGGAGGCTATGAGATCTGAGATGACAAGTGACTGATCAGAACAGAAATGTAACCTGACATTGGATGCTTCAGTGGAAAATTTTCTACAGTGTGACTGCTATAAAAAAGGTGAACTCTCTTACTTGGGTCATTCATTACAAATTGAAAATAAAATTAGCAATATTGTAATTGGGTTTAAGTGAAACAAGTGTCATAATGAATTCTATTTGTAATTCTAACATAGGGCTACATCCAATGGTGTAGATCCAATGACATCCATTAGTGGTAATATTCTTTCTCTCTCAGAATGTTTCTTCAGATCCTTCTGAAGAACCTTCTATTGGAATTGGATTATAAATACTCCCCTAACATTGAATATATTCCAGAATGAACATTTTGTTATACAGACAATGAGAAAAAAGAATATATTTACAGATAGCTTTCCTCTTAAAATTAATGAAACACTTAAATTTTTGAAGGCATGCCATTTGAAGACTGAAACTATGACATATGAAGATAAGGAGCATCAGCTAGTCACTGACTGTGTTAAAGAAATAAGTGAGTATTCTGATCATGTCTTCCACAGAGAATAGGCCTTTAGATACAAATTCAGTTCATCTTCATTCCTCCAGGTTTGAGCTCTGTACTATTCTTAACTTAATTTGGTCCTTTAAAAGGCAGTATTTCAGGGTCCGTCCAGCTATAATTGAATTGCAATTTATATCAACCCCCCATAATTGGCCATACTTGCTTGAGTGCAATGGGCTGTAATTCAAATAATTAGCAGATAATAAATCCCCCAAATTAAAACTTTATACTTGAATAGAAATGTGTAAACATTTTAATTACATTTTTCCTATCAAGTTTGATTCCTCTAACCTTTTTTAAAAATTTTTATTGATTTTTAAAAACAAACATAAACAAACAAAACATAAAACATAAAAACATAAAACATCTTTTTTGAAAGCAGCTTGATCCCGGGTTACATCTCTTCGTACAGACACAAATTCAAGTTCATGCACATTTTTATATACCATTCCATATCTTATTACCATTCTACATTTTCTATATAGCTTCTTCCCTCTTTTAACTTTCTTAATTTTATTTTATTTATTTCATCTCAATTTAGATCATTATACTTATATTCTTTGTCTGTCCTGTTTCAGCTGTCTATTATCTTTTCTCATTAAACGAAATTTCTCCTGTAATCACTGATTGGAGTATGACGCCTTTATATCTTTCCCCTAAATTTATAACACTTAATATAATACATAACTTCCATTCGGATTCTGCTTAGTACATTCTAGAGCTACACACTATATTTTAAAAAGAGAAAAAATTATAAATATATAATATAATTAAAACAACAATCCATACCAATTCAATTCTATCGTCAATATTAATATTCATTTAAATCTTAAACATTTTACACATTACTTTTCAAATAGGTATCATGCTTCTATGGGAACACTTATAAACTTTCCATAATTACTTCCCCCCCCACTTCACTTATATTTTAAAACATTGTGTAATTAAAATGTTCCCATTCCTTCCTAATTCAATTCTCTCATTTATTTCATTTCATTTATTTTGTTCACAAAAATTTCACTGAATTACACTGAGTATTTTATCCCACTTTTTAATCATATGTTGTTTCTAATTTTCTAACATTATTTCTAATACAAATATAACAATACAATCTTATGTACCTTTGCAGAATTGCTTTTTCAGTTAAATTTTTACCCATTATCTCTGAATAAGTCCTGTTTCTTTACATCTTGCTCCAAACCTTTGTAGCTTCTCTTCCCTTCCTTCCTCCCTTGCTTCTTCTCTCTACCCTTTTTACCCCTTTGTCTCTCTACCTCCATTTCCCTCTTCTGTGTTCCCCTTTTCTGTTGCTTTCTAACATTATATCCACTTTTCATCTTATTTTTCCCTTTTTTGGTTGTTTTTTTAGGTCTTAAATTCTCCATTCTCTTTCCCCCCTTTCCCCTTTCTTCCCCAGATAAAGTTACTTGTTCATTAAAGATGGCTTCTTCTTTGTCCCAATCTTCTTGTTGCGCAGTCTTTTCTTGTAGTTTCTCGTAGGTACAGATCGCCATTTCTAAGAATTGAAAAATGGAGCCAAAAGAGCCCTTTCCTTTCTTGTTCCTCTTCTTTATATTTTTTAAATTCCATTTTCAATTCATCCACAAGTGATGCCATTGTAAAAAAAATGTTAAACAACCACCCAATTGTTTTTAATCATTCAAATATAATTTCCAGAAGTCCCAAAGTCACCAAGCAATCCAAATACACACAAGCTGTTTCTTTTAACACTTTCTTCTTTTTTCACTTTCTCTTCCTGGGGTTACTATTAGTTACAAAGTTCCAGTTAAAATGTATATTTTAGAAGTCTTATTAAGATTTAGCTTTAGATTCTTTTGGATTCCAGGCAGCCTCCTGCTTCCAAATGCTGCTCTTATTCTTTTCCTTCCCAGTTACAGCAAAAAAAAATTTTTTTTAGTGTTCAGAAATCTTTATTGTCCCCTTAGCATTTAATTTTCCAGTTTAATTACCTATTGGTGCCAAAATGGATTTTTCCGATTTCTCATTCATCTCTCTTCGCTGTCAACGTAAGGAAGGAGAGTTAAAAAAAAAAAACTTTCCCTTTTCACTTTCATTCGCTGCTTGGAAATCTTCTTTGGGAGCGATGTATCTTTTATAAAATTTAAATTCCAGGATACCTTAGTTGTTGCTTCTTATCCCGGTCAGCCAAAACTTTCACTTCTTAACTTCCTCCTGCACTTTCTTTTCTGGATGAGTGCTTCTTTGAGGCGGCCATTTCTGACCACCGCTCTTACCGCCTTCGGGAAAGGGAGTTTAGCTAGCTGAGGAGGAAAGATGCAGCTTTCCTCGACCCTGCTGGAATCTCCCCGCTCTTCACCACCTCTACGGGGTGGCTTAGCCACGAAGCCAGCTGGCTCGGGACTCTCCAGCAGCGAGCCCAGGCAGAAACCACGCACGATCGCGGATTCCTGCCTGTCTCCAAAGCCCTGCAAACCGGAAGTCCCCCAATTCCTCTAACCTGTTATTTGTCAATCTTTAAATATTGGTATTGTGAATCCACTAGCCTTCAAATTAAGTATTAAGAAACCTTGCTATTAAGCAGGGTATTAACATTGAGATTGTTGAACTGGCTTTAAAAACTTGATTAATGGAGAATCCTTGTTGTAGAGACCTACAATTCAAGCAGGCACAGTTATTTGGTTTGCATTTTCTTGGATTTTGCTTAAAATAACTATTGTATGAAAGGCTTTAAGAAGTTTGTTTTTCAGAAAGGATGATATACTGCTGGTTTCTTAACAAAGCATGTATCCTGCTGTGTATCTTAGAGGAAACAAATGCTCAGATTGCAAGAATGAGTGAAGAACTGATGAGGAAGGATGAAGAGCTGATTCACTACCAGGAGGAAATCTCATCCCTCTTATCTCAGATTGTTGATCTTCAGCATAAGATCAAAGAGGTAGGTGTGCAGAAAGTTCAGAGAAGGGAAATGTTGAAAGTCAAATTGTTACCTGTACTAAGAAGTTAGTACTTCTAACAGAGCTCCTACAGGATTAAATAACTATATTTTGTATATCCTCAGCATGTAATCGAAAAAGAAGAATTGAAGCTGCATCTGCAAGCTTCTAAAGATGCCCAGAAACAGTTGACAGCAGAGGTATTTATGCCACTTACTTTCCAGTTTTTGATGTAGAGAACTAATATGGAAAAGAATAAAATGTAAACATTTTACATGAGAATATTTATATTTTTCCTGAATATTGATGGAGGATTTCTGGTGCACTACTTTGATTCGGATTCCATTCACTTTGTTTTGGTTTAACAAATGAAGGAAAAACAGAATCTTTAAAAAAGAATCCACATTCATTTTTATTCATTGTTTAGATGTTTCCCTCTGCCAGAATATTGTGGCCGAAACATTGGAAGAAGAAAGAAGCCATGAAACATATATCAAATGGTTCATGGTGCAATTCTGTATATGTTTGTGTTGAGACAGAACACCAGACTTCTGCAAAACTGATGTATTGCTCCTCCGTTGCTAAAGGGCTCAACATGTCTCCTTTTCTCTCTTCCTGGAAAAGTTTTTGGTTGTCCCTGAAGTATGGCCAGAAGACCTTGAGGGGGTCTTAAGGCAGCACTAAGCCTTCAGGAGACAGTGGCTAAACTGTACTTGACGCCATGAATCTGGCACCTAGACCCAATCTTTACTATAGTAGTTATGGGTTTCTGGCCTTAATATTACACGCAAATAAATTTAAAGCATTACTTAAAAAGTAAGATTGCATCTAATGTTATCAGTCCTGGTTTTACTAAGATTCCTCTTCTCTCTGGCAGCTTCTTATGCTCTACTCAAATCTATTCAAGCAGAAAAGAAATGCACTTGAGAAAAGAAAGCCCCTGTGCAATGCTGGGTGTTGGGGTTTTTGGGGGGGAGGGGGAGGGGGTTTCTATAATAATTTATAGCATTTATTTTATTAAATTTTTAGCAACTGTAAACATATTCTGGCAAAATAAGTATTTGACTAGTAGAATTGTCGTTTTGTAATTGTACCAATAGCAATAGCACTTAGACTTATATACCACTTTACAGCCCTCTCTAAGCGGTTTACAGAGTCAGCATATTGCCCCCAACAGTCTGGGTCCTCATTTTACCCACCTCGGAAGGATGGAAGGCTGAGTCAACCTTGAACCAGTGAGATTCGAACTGCCAAACTGCCAGCAGCTGGCAGTCAGCAGAAGTAGCCTGCAGCACTGCATTCTAACCACTGCACTACTATGACTCATTGTAGTTGGTCTGTCTTCCATTTATTATACAGGTAGTCTTTAACTTACGATCACAATTGATCCCAACATTTCTGTTGTTAAGTGAATTTTGCCCCATTTTATGACCTTCCTTGCCACAGTTGTTAAATGAATCACTGCAGTTGATAAGTTAGTAACCTGGTTGTTAAGTGAATCTCTCTTCACCATTGATTTTACTTGTCAGAAGGTCCCAAAGTTGATTGTATGTCCTTGGGACATAGCAATGGACATAAATATGAACCAGTTGCCGAGCCTCTGAATTTTGAACACATGACCATGGGGATGCTGTGAAGGTTGTAACAGTGAAAAATGGTTTTAAGTCATATTTTTCAGTGCCGTTGTAACTTTGAACGATCATTAAATGAACTGTTGTAAGTCAAGGACGACCTGTATCAGCAATTGATTAATGTGTGACTTCAGAAAAGTCCCAGTGATAATTTCTTCGCATTACATGTAAATAGCTTCTTCAGTACCTTTTGTTCTCAAGGTTGAGTAAATGATTGACCTTTTATATTGTTTTAAGCTACATGAGGTCCAAGAGCGGAATGTGGAATGTCTGGGGATGCTGCATGAGTCCCAAGAAGAAGTGAAAGGATTGCGCAGTAAAACTAGCCAGGCTGCGCTTCTCTGTCGACCCCAGTTGTGTGGAGCATTTCCTGTGGTAATATAAGCTTTCTAACTATAGCAGATTTCATTAGTTAAGCTCTTTCATCCTGCCAATAAAATTTCAAGGTCAAACTCAAACTGATCTTCAGAAGAGAAAGTTGGCACCAGTGATCCTTTCTAAATTTAGCTTCTTTATCTACATCCCATTTTATTCCATATTGGCTGAGTAACTTGTTTCATTTGGAGAACAAAGAAGACAATATTTAAAACAAGGACTGACACTCTTCTTGTTTGATGCTACTTTCTCTCTTAATTTTATTGTTATAAATTTGTGAGTAGTGGAAGAAACATTATGCTGCATGTGCTAGAGTTGCAACTAAGATTTGTGTCCACCACCTCTTTCTGACTTTACTCTCATTATAACAGACTCTTCTATAACCTTCTCAAGCATTTTTTTCCTGTTGTGTTTCAGTTTCTGAATATTGAGGGGAAAGGAAGGAACAGATTCTTTGGACAGATCTTTAATTATCTGCTTGTTACCAATGTCTATAATAGTTGCTGGTTTTTCCTCTTATTTTAAGAAAAAAACAATATTGGGAACACACTAGTCTTTGGAAGCTATGTTTTATTTGAACATATGGTTTGCCATGACATTAGGACATGTAAATTTTGATATAACTCTTTAAAAAGAACTATATAAATGACACTTCCTCATCCTTATAACATTACTTGCAATTTTTCTGTGTAGTTGTCCGCTTGTAATACCAGCTAATTTCTTTTGGCTTAGAATTAAATACTTCAAGCATTTATTTTAAAGAAATATTGCATGAAACATTTTCTTCCTACATAAATAGATTAAACAGCAAATTTACTCTTAAGCAGGACAGTCAAAGTAATACCAGTAGCATTGCAGTGGCAAAAGCCCTGCCCCTTTTCTCAGCATGTTGTGACATTCCACACCTACCTAGCAGGGATAGGTTTATGTCAAGAATGCCACCCTAATGAACAATCAGTTCTTGTGGATACTTAGAATTACCTCGTTCTTTCATTACTGTAGAAAAAAATCTCAGTATGACTGCACTATAGAAATTAAGCAATGAATTGTCAAAGTAGTGCTGCAGACAGGCTGTCAAAATAACTTCTGAATGGCTTTTAATAACTTCTTATTGGTTCCTATTGTAAGGTCCCAGCAGTTTCCTCGAGTCACTTAAGATGCCAAAAAATAGTGAAACTCAAGACGAGGCTTGCAAAAGAAACAGAGTTTCTATTGTACTTCATTTTTTAAATATCCCTTTAGAAAATGTCTTTGTTCTGAATTATAATTGTCAGTTTCTTTGGCACCCTTTACATTTTGTTAACATATTTTGCTTGTAACTTTTCAAGGAGTCCTCTAGCAATTTTAGACATGCACCTACCACATTAATAGGATAATGGAAGATGAGGAAACTTTTAGATATGAATGCACTGATTTCCTAATTATTCCAAATTAGGTACTTGTTTTGTCCTAATTGGAAATTCCTCAAAAGAAGTAATAATTGTGGTAGCTCCTTAATTATTTTGTAAACCGAGCTTAAGAAACATATTAATTTTCACCCTCTTAAATTTGAAGGAATCTCTGGCAGCAGAAATTGAGGGAACAATGCGGAAAGTGCTAAGTCTGGATGAGGAATCACTGTGTAAACAGAAGTAAGTGCAGTTCTTATTTTTTTCCCCTTAACCTGCTTTCGGGTGGTTCTGTAGGGCTTCTTCCCTGCTATCAATATAATATTTACTGCATATTAGGAAAACATCTGCAATAATGTTCTTAAGCTTTCTTGGTATTTGGATAGAAATAGCATAGCATAGCATAGCATAGCATAGCATAGCATAGCATAGCAT